ATTACTGATGTTGTACACACCCTTGAGTGTGAAATGTGGCTCTCTTTGCAAGCACATCTAACATCTAAGGAAAGAAGAGCTTAGATTGGTACCAGATAAAATAACTTTGTTATCAACATTAATACAGTATGCTAATTTTCATCTTTGTAAGCGCATAAGACAGTGCAAATTATTTCTGTGACAGTCTTTTGAAGTGTGTAAAACTCCATTTTATCCCATACATAGTCAAAATATTGTGGGGGATGATACAATGGACCATCCCCCCTTGTCAAATATTGGAGGATATATCCCCCATCCCCCCGGGATCTACGCCTATGACCATAGCAAATAAAACTTAATATCTTTGATGTATTTACTTTAATTTACCTAATCGTGTGTTGAAAACCATGGCTTATTTTTTCTCATACACGCGCAATCGAGTCGTGTATTACAGGTAATTCAGATGTTAGTGGGCAGGGATACCGGAATCTTGCTATAAGATAAGATGACCAATACTGTATTTTGACTGTACAGCGCTCTTTCGTTAAAACCTGGGTCATTAATTATGCGATCGAAAAGTGAGTGTTACCAAAACCCCCTTAAAAATATGTGGGGGACGTGTCCCTCGTTTCCCCATGATCTGCGCCCATGCTGGTAACCATGTAGAGCCACTACCCGGTCCCCTCAAGGGGGGACACAACACCATGGTTGAAAAAATTGCTCCTTTGCCGGGAAATAGCACATACATAGGCCTACTTTTTAAAAATAAATGTCCCTCACTTTAAAAATGTGATATTTTTTTTCTGGCTTGACCATTAATACCATTGTGTCACATAACAGCCTATATAATTATTCCATCGGAGTCGGTTTTTTTAAAAGTCGATTCTTATCATCATCATCGCCATCATCATCATCATCGCCATGTCATAATCATCAACCGTCATCATTATTATCATAACCACCAATACCATCATTATTATCATTCTCTCCATCATTATTATCATTCTCTCCATCAATATCATCATAAACCCCACCATCATCATCATCATCATCATCATCATTATTATTATTATTATTATTATTATTTTATTACAGTATTATTATCATCATCATCATCATCATCATTATTTTTATTATTATATTATTAGGCCTATTATTATTATTATTATTATTATTATTATTATTATTATTATTATATTATTATTATTATTATTATTATCATCATCATCCTCATCATCATCATCTTCATCGTTATTATTATTATCATCCTCATCATCATCATCTTCATCGTCATAAAGGAATGGCGCATAAGAAAAACAATAATGGTTTTTTTTATACCACTCCAGGTGGCGTTCTACATATAAACATTAATCAATGGACCACGGACTTTACAAGTAGTAACAAACGTGAGTACAGTATTGAACATTTTGCATCGTTAATTCACTAGTTAAATGGAATTTTGTCGTTTTCTATGGTTATTATTTAGACTAAGTTTGTTAGGCAGCCGCATTGAAGGCATTGCCATTTTCCACGACAGAAGCATGGACTGATATGGCTGCATTCTCTCCAACAACATACATTCAAAGTGACTCGCTAAAACCATCGAAGAAACTGGCTAAAAAATAGTTACAGTAATTACAGCTTGGGGCTTGTTAACTTCCGTTCGTTGTTTACCGTATCTGTTTTTTGATTGACATTATAGGCCTATGCAATTTATTACCAAGAGTTTATAATTATTTGGTGCACAACTTTTAACCTTGAATAATCCAAATTTGTTGTAGCCCGACAAAACTATTTTCTATATTATTTTTAAAGGACAGCGAAAGTGATGTGAGGTGGCCAAAATGTCACCGTCTTTATCAATACTGATATTAATATCTTCATGGATGTGTACTTCCATGATGTCGATATCAAATAAAAGCTACTACTGTAGTGACGGATCCAGAAATTCGAAATGGAAGGAATCCAAGGGGGACTTTCACATATGGATTTATGATTATGTCACCTCCATGGTCCATGCTCTAGATGGCCGGAAACTACTTAAATATAAATACAATTTTCAATTTTTTCCCTCCATTTTTTAATTAATTGTTGAATAATGGCTGGGGCCGGTTGCACACTTCGACTTTTCAAATAGCAGTTGAGCATTTTATATAGGCCTATAATAATAATAATAATAATAATAATAGGCCTAATGATAGTAATAATAATGATAATAATAATAATAATAATAGGCCTAATAATAATAATAATGATAAATAAGAATAAGAATGATAATAATAATAATGAAATAAATCGCCGGTATCCATTTAACAAGAAACGCTCATGGCGCCTTTCCAAAAGAAAGTCAAAATGTGAAATACATTGTTTATCTTTCAGCTAATGACAGACAATCGTATATTTAAATTGAATCTCATTGGAAATGGGCTGGACTCCGACCTAATGGGCGTTCCTGATGCTCGGTAATTTTTACTATTCTTGATCTCAATCCATTTGTTATCTTGCTTGTGCATGTTAAGCATCGAATAAATTCAATCAATCATTCAAAGAATATTATATCATGAAAAATGTTTGTATGAAGATATAGTTATAGTATTATGTTTATTGTTTGAATATGCTGTATTTATGAATCTATATATTCATTTCTATTTAATAGCACTGTTTATAAATTTTATTTACCCATGACTGTCGGAATGCTAACATTATTTGTTTGCGCTATTGCGATCTACTAGTCCTACTCAATACCATGTATTTAATAATCCTCACATCATTCTGTAATATGATGATACTATAAATAATTAATATTTAATATGATAATGCTGATATAATAAGAATTGTGAAGTACTATTATGTTGTATCAGCAGCATTGTCCATTGCGATAACTGAATACGATAATGTTGGGGTGCTCACTAATTTTTCAGTGATGGACTTAAGGGTGGGGGGAACAGCCGGTCTCACCACCAACCCCCCCCCCCCCCCCCCCCCCCCCCCCCCCAAATCTTTTAAAATGGTAAAAAATTGAAAAGAAAAAATAAGAAAATTACCTTCAAATTTAAAATCTGAGAGTGCCATTTCTGGCCATCTAGAGGTGCCATAATCAAAACGTTTCTTACCTCCGCCCGAACCATGGAGGGGCTGAGGTGGTGGGAACCCTTCATTTGGCATACTCCATTATAATTTTTTCTCTGTTTCTTAATCTTTTCTCAATATTTTTCTATTCTAGTGATGCAGACAAAGAAGCCACTATCAGAAAAGAATGTCCGGACTGAAAGGGCAACAGAACTTACCAATTTTTCATAGATAGCTACAAATTGTCACTGTCACTCAACAAGCTTCTGGATATGAAATTAATTAAAATATAGTGTAAATTTTATTTTTTAAATATTTTCCTCTGTAAAAATCTCAAAAATAATTTTAGCAATATGTATGTTCATTAATATCGTATTATTACTGCTAATGTTTATCTTATTATTAAAGTAACCCGTTTGTTGTAAAGAATATAGACATATAGGCCTATGTAAGATAATAAGATATAACATTTTGAAGATTAAAATCAGGTCTTTTGATTTTTGCTTTTTGATATAGACCTACAGTATATAAATATAAAATGTATACATATATCCCAACTTGATTTCTATGCTTGAAAATAAATATCAAATGGAATTGTGCATCTTTTATCATCTTATTTAATGTCTGTGTTTACTGCAATAAATTCAATAGCTAAAATATCCTTATTATAAGCTTAAATCAAAAGTGAAGAATTGTTTCATCAATATGTGCTACTTTAATTATTAAACTAGCAATTCTTCGAGGACGCCCTCAACAAAAACATAAAACCGGAAATGACGTGGTTGCTAAGCAACAAGCTCATGCATATCATGAATATTCATTGACACCTGTTCTAATTAGACTAACAATAAAATCTTTTTGGTCGATTTTGTCAAAACTGAGCAAAAAGTTTTTATTGTTAGTCTAATGAGCACAGGTGGTACTGAATATGTATGAGCTGTAGCCTAGCAACCGACGTCATTTCCTGTTTTGTAAAATTCGACAGCACCTTTTTCTGAAAAGTTTCAAAATTTGTATCATGTGAATATATTTGGAAAGAGTGTTTATAAGATATAGTAGCCTGTAATAGTGCTATATTCGAATTCGAAGTGATTGTAATATATTTAATTCGATTATATACTGATTAATAATCATGAAATATATAATATTATTATTAATGCAATTACGACAAAGGAAGTACACACAATGATGTATTATAAATTAAACACAGTTTACTTTTATTTTCGGAAATGTTACATCAGAACTATATAAACGTAATATAAATAGAATATAAAGATTCAAGTTTTATATAATATAATATAATAATGCTTAGGCCTAATTATATGTAAGTATGTAATATCGTTCGAGAATTACTTGTTCGTTTTGTATGAGAAACATAGGCCTAATTGGCAAATTTGATTCAATTCCGGCGATCCAGTGATATAAATCCTAATAAATATTCGCGCACTATTATTTTTATAATGAAGACCTCATAAATCCGGCTATTGGCCATTGATAGCATCTTGTGTTCCGGCAATTTAATACACATCGTGTTCCGCTGACAATGATGGTACATCGACTTCCCACTATTGATGGATCGGTAGATTTGACCTGAGCCACTGAAATAAAAGAGATTAAACTAGTGAGAAATACATTAAAACTATTTTCATTCGGCATCTGTGTAAAGTTAGGCCTAATTAAGTAAATCTCATTAGATTAAAAACACTTTTTGGAAACTTTATGGCATTCATATCTTCATGAGGTATAGAAATACAAATTCAGAAAATAAAATTGATTGATTGATTTAATACTTTATGTAAAGTGTACATGTTAATAAAGCGTTATTTTAATATGAGTGGGTGAGTACGCTCCCCAACATCCCACCCCAAATCAACAAGGTCCAAAGTTTAAGACAGTCGAAAATGTACTGAATACACATTTTTTTTTAAATATTTTTTTGTAATAAAAGTTAAAAGCGAATATTAAATCTTAACATTTTAACAAATACTCTATCGGGCCCCTGTATCGTCCTATAATAACAAAGCTGTGGTCCAACCTGCTTTTCCCCTTAATGGCACCTGGGGTTTTAGGTGACCCCTCCACATTTGGTATGATCATTACATCTTATGTTCCTATCTGATCACTGTTATTATTAATAACAGTATTTTTTGTATAGCATTTCGAAAGACGGTTTAGATTTTTCCTCATACTATCCTGATTTATATACATATATATATATATATATAT